GTATGAGGCCCTCATTTTCGAATCCGTCAGCGGCCTCAAGAGGTTGTAAAACCGCCCTGTACATTAACACCAAGTCCCACATAAATGTGTAACACTCTCAACATCAGCTCAGACAATTAAGGATATGTTTTCTTAAGAACGAAGATGAATTGGAATTACATTCAAAGGCCTTTGAAAGGCTTTTGTTTTCTTTCTTAGCATGTAGAAATTTATTTTCGTCTAGAACATCACCTTGGCAATGACAGGCAGATAATACGAGTGGTATGCTTATAAGAATGGGAAAGATCTGGTAATCTCATGAGAAACTGACGGAAACTGTCGTATGCCGATATAGTTTGTTTCTCAACTGAATATCCTTCCGTTCCTTCAAAATGGAAATAATAATGAAAAAAAGAAGTTTAATGCAGGTAGTACATAAATCATCTGTCATACTGAATAAAATTTTAATTCTTAACAAACATTATGTTATCCGACTCTGTATGTATTTTATATGTGGAATATATTTTTTCGTTCATTGTACTAATTGTTCTTTAGAGCAATGAACCTTACATTCGCCTTCCAATCAAGATACGAATTTCGCACGACAATTTTCGATGTATGGACATCTTAAAAAACACGCGAGAGATTCGAGAAGATTGGATAATTGGTAATTAGTGTGCTTTGTGCGATAGTAAAGATTGAACACGAGGTAAAACGAGCTGTAGCATTTACTTCCATTGAATGTCCCGCAGCAGTTCACAAGTCGTGCGCAGAGCCCTTCGTCGCGTCAGCTGCGGGTCAGCTGATGCTGCCAATTCAGGATCTCGTACCACCTGTTGGCCAATAGACACTAAATGGAGGCCTTGATCAAACTGTTCGCGCTCAATTTTACCCATGATTCATCATTCAAAATATGTCTACCACATGTATTGTCTGTGGAAGGATATTGCGCACTTCAGATTTAATTAATTGAATTTCGAGTAATTAGTGTGACAAGTTTGTCTTTCACTTAGCAAACTTAAATGATCGAACCATGCAGAGAATCAGAGGAACTTCTCGTCGTATGTCTATACGGGAGAGAAGTTAGACGATACATGAAGTCTGTTGATGCTCACGTGCAGACATTAGAACGGAAGAAAAAACAAATTTAAAGGGACGCTACAGAATTTAAAGGTATTGAAGAACGAAATGTGAGTTACCTCAATACTTTTGTGTCCGTTTGAACACAATTGATGTTGTTTCGAACATGCTAATCAAGAGACCTTTAAACGTAGTTATGCGATTTGACGTTTAGTGAAGTTTAAATTTCCTGTGTTGAAAATAGCAAAAAGGAAACGAGGTCAGTTATCAATTATTTGTGATGGATTTTAATGAATGTCATAGTCGTCCACGCTTGTACTATTAGTTTATCTTTTCGTTTGATATTTTATACGACTAGCAGCTGTGTTGAGGTATATTTTGTTCCAGATTCCAAATGATGACCTACATTTGCTGTTGCAGCCAACCGAGTCACTTATGACATGTTTGATGATTCCAACTTATGTGAGTGTCATGATTCATTATAAATACTGTACCAAAAGTGTTAACATTAGTTGACTAAATATATTTGAACTGTTTTTGCTGCTTAGAGCTTTTTAATCAGGTCATAGAATTTTGTGCTCATAATTTGGCCTTGACTTCATTCCAAATTTTTTGGCTAAATAGAATATGATTTTACATAGCTGTGAATAATGGAATGGAAATATTATGTACTGTGGTTTTAAATTCTAAAAACTTGTACTTTTAACTTTTATGACTATGAACAATTCTACTTTTCTTTGTTTGTACTCCTGTCTAGATGTAGCAAATAGATTCAATGTGACTTTTTATACTGAGAAGGAAGAACAAAACTGTGTGAAAGCAATTGTGAAAATACATTTAGTTGTACATTTCATTGAAATTTTAATATCAAATTAATTAAAATGTTTTTTTTCATACTTTGCTGTGAAATATGTCACAATTTTAGTTTCCTGTGCATAAATTTTCCTTTTCACTTTAATGTGATTGTTTGAAGGAATATGAGGTTTTTGAACTTTTGTTTTAAGCATTAAGGAAGGTTGTGAGAAGTGAAAATCTAGCATGAAGGAAGACGTGTTATACTTGGCAAGCTTCAATTTGAATGTTGTCAATTGATTACAGTATAGGATCCTTTTGTCCCTTTGTTTGAAAGTTATAATATTTGTCCATTTTGAAAACTTAGAAATAAATTAACATGTTTATATCTAGATAATCTAAAAAGTATTCGAAATGAGGTCGGTGACTTCCAGAAATGTCAATTTGTTTTTTTAGTAACTTTTGAATACATGTTTTAGTTACTTTTTTGTTTTTAATGTATATATTTTCTCTAGGGTGTGATGATTGTGGAAATAGCAACTCAGGTGAATGCAACAAACACGGTGTACTGCACGTTGTTTCTGATTTGCCGTTTGTAAGTAGAGCACGTCAAACTCTGCCTTCCATTCTGGAATTGAAGTCGCCTACTGACAGTGAAGAAGGTTTGTTGCCTTAGCTTCTTTCTTTATTTTCACTTTAAATTTTAAGACTATAAAATTAATTGACTATTAACTAGTTTTTGTGGTAATAAATGTATATAACTTTTTCTAATTTGTCAAGAAATGATACTTTAAACTTTGTTATAGTGGTTTCTTGAAATTATTTCTTTAATATTTTTTATATTAAAATGTACAAACAGGAGTTTGTTTGTCTTTTGAATTAATATTTCTTATTCTATTTGGATGTAACTTATGGAAATGTTCTTTCATTTCATTAAAATATTGATGTTTTTTATTCTGAGTTGACTTTCACATTATCCTAAACATGACTGTCATTGTGTATTAAGGTATTTAAATAACATTGGTAACTAATTAGTTTTGGTTCATGAATTTAGTATAAAAAACATGTTTTGTTCTCCGAAATTTAAGTTGTTTAAAATAAATGAATAAAATATAATCAATAATTTGTATTATTAATTTGGTAATGTTTGCTGCATATTTTAAATCACCTAACACGGTGACTGTTCAAAAGTTAGAAGTGATTATCCTTTTAATATTTAGTGTGTACACGATGATTGAAAGATTTAACTTTCATGAAGTAATTCAAAGAATATTAAATTATTATTTTCAAAATAGAAAGTTTTTTCAAATTGATGTTACTATCAAGAGCTTATTTTATTAATTTTTGAGTTCTCAGTTTTTTATTTTTTTTGTTTATGGAGTTTGAACAAAATGTGATATGTGGCAACTGGTAAGAGAACAAAATTGCCATTTTCTATTCATGCGGCTTTATTGGGACAAACATAATTCCTTGTACAAATGCACATCTTTATGATTTTATTTTGGCATTTCCCCCCTCTATTCTACCATTATCAGGATTGCCATTATCACAATTTCTACAATTTGCCATACTACAATTTGTCTTCTCTATCAGTATAGTGACTAAAAGTTATAAGCCAAAATTTCAGCTTGCCATGTCATCTATGAATCTTGATAGTTATTTCAATAAGTTTTCTGCTTTGACTGTGATATCTTTGTTAAGAGAGCAGATTCTACCAACGACTTTCATTACATCTTCCACAAATGTATTTTTCATTTTATTCTTGGTTGATCTACAGAAAAATTGTGATTTATTTTCACATTTCTAATTCATGAACCTAGGAAATATTGAGAATCATTATGTCTTGAAATTATCTCATATGTCATAGATTCTATTATAATTTTTCCGACTATTTATTTTGAATTATAATTCTTAAATAAGTGGGGTTTTCTTTTTCATGCTCCTTTGTATCTTGTTACATCTTGGTTATTAAATTTTAAATAAAACCTCAATTAGATGTGAACTACTTGCTATCACTAATAATTTTATTTTCTGTTAATGAAATTTGTGCAATGAAAAAAGAGAGTGTTATTCGAACACATATTTCATGTATTAATTTTTTCTCTTATTTAAATCAGAGGCAGCTGGAAAAAGATTGAGGTGAAAAGTGTATTGTAAGATAGAGCAAACAAGTAGATAGAATTAACACTACATTTTCTTTCTTTCTTTTTTCAACAGAAATATTTGAAATGTTTCATAATGAGTTGGATTAGGGATATTCCAGTTTCTTCTGCTATGATTGTCAAAAGGTGATGTAAAAAAGTTGTGCAGTTTGGAAGATTAAGATTTTCGAAATCTGTTTTACAAGATAAATTGTTGATTACATTAAAAGAAATTATTCAGGAAAGATAATATTTTCTATCTGCTTTTGTTTGAGGACTCCCGTGCTTTTAAACCTTGTAATTTATATCTTTCTGTGGCAGGTTTGTTGGTGTTTAGTCGTGCGTGGATTCAGCGCCGTACCAGGTTTGGTCCCTTGCAAGCACCAACTCGCAAACAAAGGCCCTCGTTCTCCCTCCAGATAGAACAACTTACTCAGCGCCCTACACTGCCATTCAAACTGTTCAGGAGTAGTGCCAGTGGTGTAGGCAAAGAGTTGTCAGCATTGTGGCTCAACGCTGATGAGTCACGTAATGAAGAGCTGTCAAACTGGATGGTGTTTGTGGCGGTGGCTCGGACTGCCAAGGAACAGAACTTAGTTGCCTTCCAGTACCAATCTGGCATCTACTTTGTCACTATCAAGGTGAGTGGTTATCAGTGGTGAGCTGTAAAAGGCTTGTAGGAATCTGTTACAATTTTGTGTTTGCTGAGTTAACATTTTTTTATTTCAATCTTTCACGGTTATGTCTTACAAATTTTGTGCTGATTTTCAGTACCACATGTATAAAATGTTAATGTTGCTTGTCTAAACACCTGCTGCAACATATGTGTCACAATTGTGCATGACTAAATTACATTACCAATAATCAACATTGAAGTGTGCTTGACAAGTGTGAAAGACACAAAAGAAAGAGATGACAAGAACATGTTTAGTTGTTCCATACATTCTTGTACATTTTATAAAACCTAAGTTCTTTTATTCAATGTTACTTAATGTAGTGTTTTTCCTCTTTGCTCATCATTTTACAATACATGCTAAAGAAATCAGGTTCTGTGTAGGCATTTCATTTCTCTAGCTATTGAAAGAGACTTAAGATGACCCCATGTCTTTTTACATAAAAGCTGCAAGCCAGTTATTACAATTTTCACAGCTCACCACTTGCAGTAATGATCACTGTACTGTAGTTTGGGAATCAATAGTTAGCTGATTACTGATTATTCCCATTCGTTTGTGTTGAAGATGATTTGGACAATAAGGAATTGTCTGGTATAAGCAGGCAAAACCTTTATATTTGTGAACCTTTTGTAACAAAAATATATTATGAAGAAATGGATATGAATAAAAAACTTTTTTGGACTACAAATATTGGAATATATTGATGGTCATAATGGCGGTGACAGTGATGATGATGATTGGAATCAGTTCATTGGAAAATTGAATGATTGGCACGTAGGTAATTGGCATTCTTGTGTATTTTCATATTGTGCAAATTAATGAATTTTTCTTTCCTGAAAGTTATAAATAATTATTTATAAATCTAATAGAAATATAGATTTTTTCTTATGATTTAATACACTCAGAAGTTGTATAAGACTTTTTGTGAAATGAATATCGGGGTGAAATGTTCATTTGTTCAACAGATATTTCAAAGCTAACAGTCTACATCCTTAGAGGATAGATGATTTTTCAGTCAGAAATGAAAATTCAGTTTCTTTTGTTCTTCTTTTTTTTTAAATGTGAATCTTCAGTCTTGTGCCATTTATAAATAAAATATTTATTATTTCTAAATATAAAATACTAAGGAAATATGGTTTTTTATTAGACTCAATAGAAAAAAAACAACCTGTAAATGTAGTTCTTAGGGATAGGAAATTATTCGGGAAATGTGTTAATCACATTGAAGAGAGAAATTGTGAATTCATTAGACTACGTAAGTCAGCAGATTTGCAACAGGTATCACGCTCAATGCTTAAAATGGTGCATTTTAGATTTATGCTTTTAAGGTAATCAGAAAATGCAGAATCTCGAAATACATATAAAATTAAATTTACTATGTGGTTGATTTAACCACTCTGGCTCTAGTTTTTCATTTGTAAATAATTGTCAGACAATACGCTTATTTATGTACCACTGTACTTGTCCCATTTAAAGTAACTACACTCATTTTGAGGGCTTACAATTCAAAATTGGGATTCAACATGAAGTTATTTTTATTTTTAAAACTATGATTGACAAAGGGTGGCATGTTCCACTAGTTAGCATTATTAAGACTACAAACGTTTCTTGTGAGTTACCTAAATTAAATTATGCCAGTTTAAAAGATGAGAACTTGTAAGTGAAGATAATGTCTTTAGAACTACTATTATTTTTTCATGCCCCTGGTCTCCCACATGTGTCCCCTGAGTAACGCTAAATGAGCAACGGTGGTTTGCCACAGGTGTTGGCTAGTAAGTAAGTACTATTATTTTGTTAATAGTCAATGAGAATTATTTAAATACTCTTTGGCTCTTGTTGCAATTCTTGAAAAAGCCTGGAAAATTGCTTCCTGAAAAATAGGTCAGTTAATTTTGGAAGGTTTACAATAAAATTCAGGGATGTGTTATAAAAATGGGTTATTTCTTTGAAGAAATCCACAGTTGAAATAAAATGTTTTTAAAACTTCTTTTTTTTTTAAAAAAAAAATATTTTTTGTGCAAGAGCAGTTTTGTTATATTTACATGAGCAGTTTGAAATATAACTTCAAATATTATTTTGACTACTTATTTCTTTGTAATTTTTAACTTTTTAGTAATTTCAATGCAATCTTCAACTTAAAAGACATTCTGATTGTCATGCCTAATTTGAAAAAGAAAACAAAATAACCTTCTGAAAAGGCAAAATGTTTGGAGAATTTATTATTGGACATTTGAGAATTGACAACAGTTAGTTATTTTGTTGTAGGATATTAAAAGTGTTTTATTGTTGTCTTCTTAAGTTGTTGCAGTCAGTCTACATCAGTGAATCATGTGTACATGTCTAATTGAGGGGTTATTTTCTTCTTGATAGATAATTTAAAATTGTTTGTTATGTCATATATCAAAGTATTTTCCATTCATCAATACTGTCAAATTCTAATGTTTCTTAGTAGAAAACTCCCTAATCAAAACAAAAAAAAATTTTATTCCTTTTGGTTTTCATTGTGTAATTCTTAAGCTTTTGTAATTCTATTAATGCTTGTTTGTACTTTCTTATTTCTAATGTTGAATTGATGTTTCAAGAAGTAACATATGTTTGGTTACTACTAAATATCATTTCAACCATTAACTTTAAGCAGTTCTTGAAACTGTTTTTTTAAGGAGCGGATCTATATTATTAGGATATTTCATGTTAGATTACATGGATGTAAGAATTGATTGAGTTTTATAAATCATTTTAGAAATAACTCAGAAATGTGATAAGATGTGTTAATTTCCAACCAAATGTTTTTTTTTTCAATGATGAGAGAAAAGTGAGCCTTACTCTATCTTAAGCTGTTTTATTGGCCATTTTGCAGTTCTTCAGTTAAATATTTCATGTGTGGAAATAATTAGGCTCATACAATACATAAACTTAGGAAATAGTGAATGTGGCGGTATACGGTAAATTATTTTCAATTCAATTTAGAAATTTCATTAGAAGATAGTATGTAAGTCTGTAGTAAGTTTTAAATGCCATTAGCATACAGTGTGGTAGAATGATATATTTTAATCCTAACAATATAGTTACAAAATTGTGTGCCTTTTGTTTTCAAACATATTTTATTAACAGATTAAGTTTGATGTCTTATTTGGCTTTTGATGGAGACAGACTCTCTGCAGTGTTTATGCTTACTGAATAATGGGGTTTCCTTAACCAGGTTCCACATCTGTGAAATTCACATTGATACTCAGGAACTGTTAATGGGCTGGGTAGAAAAGATATTTCTTCAGTAGGAAATCTTTATTTTAGTTGTGCCACTTAGGTTGTGATTGTCAATAAAAGTGTTCTTGGGATGCTGATGATTGAAGAGTGTTCTCTAAGAATTTATAATGCATATCTATTAACATTGCAGGATGTAGGAACTTGAAAACGTAAAAACAAAAAAATAAAATAAGTAAATAAAAGTGTTTTGAAATGCAGAAAATCTTGTTAAGGTATTGTGATCGCAAGCAAAAGAGCCCCATTCAAAGAATATTCATTTTAGTGTTAAAAATTTTCTTGTTGGCATTTAGTTATGTTACAGTACAACTAGTTCAATACGTAATTTTAGGCGATTTGCTGTGTAGAAATGCTACTTTGAAAGAATTTAAACTGTATTAATTTATTTTCATTTAATTAAATAGCAACAAATTGGAAATTAATATGTGCTTTTGCAATTCATGTGTAGGACATTGCTGTTGGTGAGGAGCTGCGTGTGTGGTATGCCAAGGAATATGCCGCCTGCATGGGAATTGCTCCTCTTCCGAAAGCATCAGGTGAGAAGCGCAAACGTATTTAACTGCCATTTCCTTGTTGCATCCATAGAATTATGCTTCCTAATAAATCCTCCTTTACCTAAATAAATAGTGGTTATTTATTTACTGGCTGAAATACCCTGCATTGTATGTAAAGAGTATTTTTTATTTGTTGTCTTGTAGGTAATATTTATCACT